AGCCACGCTCTTATAAAATGGCGGAACAGGCTCGAATGTCTGGCTCGATAGCCTACTCCTGTTTTACGGTGAGCGGGTTTGGCGTTGGGAGTCGCGGCCACTTCAAAATCTCCCGCCCGAACCAACGGCCAAATCTCACTGCGTGACGTCAATTCCACGCGCCCGTTTTTTTTCCAAATGCAGCTTCAGCTCTAGTTTATTGCAACTTTCTCTCCAGCAGTTTTGCGGTTTGGGGCGGTGGGGGGTCAAGAGGAGAAAATAACAATGTCGTCCCACAGGCCCTCAGGTTCAGCTCCTAAAAGACACTTTTAAAAATCAGCTTTCAAGAGGGAACTAGATCAATATTTAAAATGAATAATAATAGTAACATATAATCCTTACATTTTCCGGAGGTAATAATTCCTTCAAAATAAATAAAAAGTAATTTGGTCACTCAATCCAGTGGGGCACTTGGCTGCTACATTTCACCTACAAAATATACAGTCAATATACACTTTGACTGTATATTGAGAGGTTATGCCTCTCAGGAAAGGCTGAACATACTTGGACTCTTTGCTCTTGAAAAAAGGAGAGTAAGGGGTGACCTGATTATGAAAGGTTTTGATAAGGTAGACACAGGGAACATGTTTCAACTTGTGGGGGAGACCAAAACCAGGGGCCATCAATATAAAATGTGGAGTCCTGTAGCTCAGTGGTTAGAGCACTCGCTTTGCAAGCGAGACACCTGGGTTCAATTCCTGGGCTAAACCTTAGGCAAGTTTCCTTACTCCACATACGCCTAATAATAATCCCTCCAAAAAACAAAACAATAATAAATTGGTCATTTCAATCCACGACTGTTTGTAGGACACTGCTGTGCGCAATTGGCTGCCGTGTTTCGCCCACAAATATACAGTCAATTCACTTTACAGTCTATTCTGTGAAGCGTTTTGAGATGGCGAGAAGACGTGAAAAGCACTATATCAAATGCAAGGATTATTATTATTATTATTAAAATAGTCACAAATAGATCAAATAGGGAAGTTAGAAGAAATGTTTTCACACAGAGAATAGCGGGAATGTGGCACATGCCACCACAAGGAGTTGTTGAGGCAAATAGAATGGGTGTATTTAAGGGAAAGCTAGATAGGTACATAGGTACATGAGGGAGAAAGGGATAGAAGATTATGCTTGAAGGCTGAGTTGAGGAAGGGCTTGAGGAGGCTCATGTGAAGATAAACACCGGCATAGACTAGTTGGGCCGAATGGCCTGTTTCGATGCTGTATATTCTAATGTATTCTAATGTATATTCTGTGAAGCACTTTGTGGCGTCTCGAAGATGGGATAATGCGCTCCATCAAATGCAAGGAATATTATTTTCGTCAGGAGGACGCCTCGAAGTGCTTCGCGGGATAGATTACAAAGTGGAATGACTGTTGTTTTTTGCAGGAGTATGAGAGAAAAGGCAAGTAAATGGGACTGAAAGGATCGTTCTTTCAAACAGCAACGCAGACACGATGGTCTGAATGGTCCTCCTCTGTGTTGTAAACGTCTACGGTTCTCGGGTTTGAAACTCATGTGTTGTGAACATGAGACTTGCTGCACTGACAAAAATAACGGCACAACCAAAAGGAAATGACGGAAACCGTCACATTCCTGCTCTCACTGTGCAAAGCTCTGATTTATTCAGCACAGTAAAGGTTAAGCCCCAATCCGTGGCACTGACAGGAAGACACCAGATGGCAATAATGAGTTTCAACAAACGCTCAACCCGGTCTGCTTTTCATTTCAACATCTGTGCTTTCCATAGCAAGCGAAAACAGAGAGAAAAGAGGATTCAGACACCGCGATTAGCATTCTAAAATTACACGTCTCCTACAAACCAAAGACACGCTTTAGAAGCCTTCATACATTCAACTGGGAGAGAAGAATAACGTATACAGACAGCTGGATTCATCTGAGAACATCTCCAGTTTCGGGAGACTCCAAGCACTTTGTACTTTTCCTGTTTGTGGATGTAAATTTATTGATCGCTGCTCCACAAACACACAGCTGTCAGCAAATCCGTGAACAGCTCAATTAATCTGGAACAGCAGGCGAAAACTGACCAAAACGCTCCAAATTCATTTCTGTGGGACTTACGTGGTTGTGTATCAAATATTAATAATAATAATCCTTGCATTTGATATAGCGCTTTTCATGTCTTCTCGACGTTTCAAAGCGCTTCACAGAATATACTGTAAAGTGAATTGACCGTATATTTGTGGGCGAAACGCGGCAGCCAATTGCGCACAGCAATGTCCCACAAACAGTCGTGGATTGAAAATGACCAATTTATTATTGTTTTTTTGTTTTGGAGGGATTATTATTAGGCTCTGTGTGGAGTAAGGAAACTTGCCCAAGTTTTCGCCCTGTCGGGAATTGAACCCAGGTGTCTCGCTTACAAGGCGAGTGCTCTAACCACTGAGCTGCAAGACTCCAAATAGGAAATAACAGAGCATTCAGGTGTCAGCCTGAGGTCCCATCTGCCTGTTCATTTGAAAAGAGAAGGGAGTTTCTCCCCGCGTTCTGGCCAACAATCCTCCAGATAAAATTGCTCATTCACTTCCTCGCTGTTGTTTGGATGTTGTTGCGCATTAATGACAGTCACATTGACCCACAAAATATGGTCACTCCACTGCACAGGCTTTGAGATATCCTTCAAGGAGAGAGTACACATTCCATTCCAATAAATATCCTGGGAATTTCCATTTATAGGTGAAATGCAATGGTTTGTATACTCTTAAGCATGGTGATGAACTTTCAGATGTGTTGGACACCTGGGTGACCCCAAAAACTTGCGCACATCAATGTGACTCAAACAGCTATACTCCACTATATAACCACAAACGACTAAGAGAGGGTACATCAAACAAGAGTGGATCAGGAAACTATACTGAATAAGGAATCATTTAACAGAGGTATAGGAGAGGGGGAAGGGGGGAAGTGGGACTGAACAGATCTCTGTTTCAAAGAGCAGCAAAGACACAATGGTCAAATGGCCTCCTTCTGCCCTGCAAATCTCTATCGTTGTAAGAGACCAAAGGTTCTTTGATGAAGCCATTTCAAGACCTGGATCACATCACAACAACAAGCCTTTTGGAAATCAAGCTGAAAGGAATATTTATGCTGATGTTCAACACATGTGCCATTTCCTCAGTAGACAGCCAGCTCGGGGAAGATAGGAAGGTTCTGAAGGGAGCTTCAGAACACATTTTGCATTTCAATAACTTCATTCACTCATGTGCAGGCATCACTCAGGGCCTGACCAGTAGTGATGTTAAGTACAATTGCTTTCCTTTAACTCGGTTATGGTTTGACAACCCGCTGTACACAGCTCGAAAGCCGTATGCGATATCCCAACAATCTTTCCCTCACCCCGTCGTTGCCATTCAAAAATACCTCAACTGAGGTCCCGTCTGCCTGTTCAGGCGTATGTTAAAGATCCCATGGCATTATCCAAAAAGAGAATGGAGTTTTTCTCTCTCCCGGTGTCCTGGCCAACAAATCCCCCAAATAAAATTGTGCACAACTGGCTGCTGTGTTTCACCCACAAAATACACAGTCAATCACTTTACAGTTTATCGTGCGAAATGCTTTGAGACGTCTCAAACACAAGGATTGCAGTATTTAGCAGGCCACCTCAGTCAGTGCAGAGAATGCAGTCTCCTCTGAGGATCTGGATACAGATGAAGACTAGCTGGAGAAAAGTTTTCTCTCGCTTGACAACTTTGTGATCCGAAATGAGATTATGAGTTGAATCACCCTCGTCTCACACTGGACAGCACAAAACTGCCCTCGAGTCAGCACTTAATTGGTACTCTTGCTCAAATGGATCACAAAAATGAGTCACATCAAGTCAAGCATCACAATTAGTGCAGTCAGCGGCAGTTCTACGAGGCAGAGCACAGCGCTCGTTTAAGCACAGCGACCCACCAGTGAACCTGACCCTGGGGAGCCTGACAAGATCACACCAAAATTGACATTGATGGACAAAAGTTGAAAAGTGTCCCATTCCCTCGCACCGAATTTTCTCTTCAAGAGCACAGCAGCTGACGTGAAGTCGATTTCTTCAAGATCCCTAACACTTGGTTGACAGAGGAACGGTCACTAACAGCCTGGCAATCACTTAGCCCTCAGTTAATAAAAAATGTCTTTTATCAAGCAATCTATATGTCTCTTGATCCTGCAGAACATTAATAAAAGTGAAGCCCAATTACTTCTCAAACCTTCATTATGAACCAATGCATTATGCAGTGGTCACCAGAACAGCGACTTCAACAGGGAGAATGTCTTTGGAACAAACCGACAAGGGCGACATTAATGAGTAAAATTCAAGAGAGAGACATGTACTGTATATAGATACACTTCTGTGCATCATCCTGGATTTCATTTCAATCAGCCGCACAGAACCAGATGATACACATTTAATTATTCTACAGTGCCATTTACGTAAAATCAAGCCTCTTAAAGCATTTTACAAAATGTAATTAGAAAAATCCTTACATTTGATATAACATCTTTCACGCGTGAAGGATCTCTTTCGTAGAGCTTCACAGGTTAAAGTGTACGTTGTCTTGTAGGTGAACTCAGCGGCCAAATTTGCACACGGCAATGTGCCACAAACAGTCGTGAAGTGAACAAGCGATTTTGTTTGGTGGTTTGTTGGCCAGGACACCAGGAGAAACTCACTTCTCTTTTCAAATAGCGCCACAGGATCTTTATCAGCTAGCAGAACAGCCAGATGGGGCTAACTGTTCGAATGTCACCTCGAACAATTAGCCCTCGCCCAGCACTGTATTGGAATGCCAGTCTGGACTGCGAGTCCAAAGTCCTGACGTAGCGCTTGAATCCAAAGCCTTCTGACTCAAGAGGCGAGAACGCTGCCAACTGAGCCAGGTTGCCAAACACTTTTGATGTATTGATCACACACACAGCCGGACCCACAGGAAGAAAACCCTCACGGAACCCTCTCGCTTACCTTCACACAATCCGTCTTTCTCCTCAAAGCCGGCGCTGCAAGTACATTTGCCGATGGGCACCAGCCACTCTCCCTCTGCGCTGCAGTGCATCCTTGGGGGATTGTTGACCTCCACTTCAGAATTGTTGACGCACGTCCCCCTCACTTCTACCAGGGTGGAGAAAGCCGCCTCAGCCACGGTGTCCGGGAAAACGGCCACACTCTGCAGCTTGGACAGGCAGATTTTGTAATAAACTCTGACCGAGACGAGAGCCACACAGGCCCCCACGTCCTGGAAGCCCAGATGGAATCCTCTCCTGTTGAGGTGTCCGATCTCCCTGACCTCCGTGTTGAGTTTCATCTTGCGCTCCCCGAGGTCTCCCTGCGTGAAGCTCTCGTCGGCTGCGATGGTGTCGATCTTCAGGTATTTGCCCTCCTTGATGTTTCTGCCCAGGTCCCGGTCCGTCTCCACGTAGTAAAGGTTGAACGTCTCCTTGCACGTTCCGACCACTCCCGGGATGCTGTTACAGTCCCTCAACGTGAACTTCAGTTCAATGAAGATCCTCTGTCCGTTTAGCCGTGCAATCCAACCAGTCTGAAGCCAGTTGTTTTGATTGGGAGCCATTACATTACAGACCTGGTAAGTTCGAATTGGCTTATAGTTCTCGTCCACTCCGCTGATTTCTTCCCACTGAAGAGGAGAAGGACAAAACAAATGTTATTCTCGAAAACAAAATCCGAGCAATTAGCATTCCTATCCGTGAAAGTGATCCAATTAGTTATCACTGGGTCGTCAGTCACACCCTCCCACCTGCTTCTGTCTGCTGAGGTCTAACCAGGCACAGGGCCAAGTGCTTGAGGTGAGAAGTAGATGGAAGATCACATTCAACAGCTTGTTATTCAGTGTCAGATATTATCAAATCCAACAGAGGCCAAGGAACGGTCATGCAATGAATTTTGCAGGGACTTGCAACACATGTACACCACCCATTCACACACTGCGCACACATTCACTCCAACTGCACACACTCGCCCACCATACACACACACCACACACACATGCCCTCTACACACACACACAAACATACACCATACACACACACGTGCCCTCTACACACACACACAAACATACACCATACACACACACATGCCCTCTACATGCACACACACCCTAACAGATGCACAACACCACAATACAAAAACACTACAAACATATAAATATATAATATATATATCTATATACACACACACACTCTGCATAATTTCTTTCGAAATTACAGGTGGTTTAGGGCAGCTTCTACCTAACCAATTGGACTTATACTCGGAAAACCTTGTGAAACTCAACAAGCTTGGTACCATTTGGTAACAGCAACCATGCTCAGAATTGCAAACTTTGTTATGCAAGCCAAGACACATTGTAAAAAGGTATTTGTTTAATAACTATACTTGTTTCCTGGCAACGGTGGGACTCAATACCTTTACGACCCAAGAGAGTCGTTTAATCAAACAGGATATTGCAGAAAACAGTTCTCTCCTTTAAGCACATCCTTAAGCACATTTAGCCACAGAACACACAGTCACATCACTTGGCTGTGTGTCCTGTGAAGCGCTTTGGGATGTCTCAGAGTGGTGATAAGGTGCTATATCAAATTCAAGGACGATTACTATTGTATTAGTATCCTTAAAGGTACAAAAATCAATGCAACTGCAGTTTAAAGCAGGGTAGACCAACTGTCGGCTCGAGGGGTAATTTAATCTGCGCTTTCCAAAACCCGTAATGTTATGTTATTGTTTCTGGAAGAAAAAGGCTAAAATATTGCTTATGCAGCCCGCAGATGTTTCTCAAATACGCTGTCCGGCTCTCAGCAGCCAAAAGGTTGCACAGCCCTGGTTTGAAGTTGCAATGGTATCAAGTAATATGAGAGTCAATAACTATATCAGATTATATCTGGAGTGAATAATGGAGAATGAGCAAATAATATCACCTCAGTTTTCTTTAAGCCTTAAAATTTAAGGTCACACCCTCTTGTGGAAAATATTCTTAAATTCTTTAAATTCTTAAACAGTCCCCCAGGAAGAACCGATCATTCAAATCTTCATTGCTGATTTGTGGGGACATTGCTGTGAGCAAAATGAACCTGTTCCAAGGGTTCTGATGGACTGAAAGGTTGTATTTCAGTACAGATCCCCAGTGTCTTGGCCAAGTTCCTCCCTCATCCAAATTCACAAATAAATAGATTAATTGTTAATTTATCACACTGCTGTTCAGCTGATGCAGAGCATTTGCTTACGTGCCAACACTCGCTACACTTCAAAGCAACTGGTTGACCTGATAAGGTGCTGTTTCCAATCCAAATATTATACTGTTATAATTAAGAGTGGCAGGTTAATTGGGTGAAGTAACAGTCCAAATTTAGCATCTCAGAATTGGTAATCAACTCAACTTGATTGGCATTGTTTGCCTAGAAGACCATAAGAGGAGTTATGTTAATACTGCCTCTGCAATGCAGAAAAATAATTAGCAATCGGTGATCAATAATCAATAGTGATGATTATTTCATTTGATATAATGCCTTATCAAGTCTCAAAGTGCTTCACAGGATACACTGTAAAGTGGATTGAATGCGTATTCTGGGAACAAAGAAAAATTGCACGATTGAAAAATTCTGCTGACCATGTATGCATTACTCATGACCTTAATTGTCACAGTGTAAAATAATTTCCTGAAATTTTTGTTCTGCGAAACAGTTTGGGTGGAATAAGACCCAGTGACCCTTAATCAGTGGGGACACAGGTTTAGAGTTGTGATGAAGGGCAATTTAAGGACAGGCATCAGGAAGTTTCTATTTACCAAAATGTAATTAACACTCAAAGAGGTTGCCAGGGAGAATGATTGAGGCCACAATTGTAGGGCTCATTTAAAGAGCAGTTTGATGCTGTGATGTGGGGACGGTGGGTATGTCGGAAGGATTAGATGGTCCAAAAGACCCTTCTTCATCTGATTTTTTCAATTAATCTTGTGATTATTCAATTAAAAACCCACCTGTCTCTCCAAGCGTAATAGTTCTGGCAGCAAGTTCTGGGATATCTGGGTAAAATTTGCAGCTATCCTCAGAATGATCCTCGTGTTAATTAAGACAAGGGATGCATTAAGAACACCTGCAAATTTATTCAATAGTTTATTCACAATGGTGGATGAAGGCAGAGGGATTTCCCTGCCCAATCTTTACACTCCTTACATGGAGTTAGATTGGCATTCTGATCGCCTACATTAGGAAACCATAGAAACTTACAGCACAGACCCATTGTGTCTGTGCTGCTCTTTTGAAGAATGATCCTTTCAATCACATTTACCTGCTCTTTTTCTATGGACCTTTAATTTAAACTGGCCTTATAAATTCCGAAATTCCACCCAGTCTTAGCCCGTGATACCATTTGCCATTGAATTTGAAATCATCTGCAAATAGGAGAAATCCTTAAAACCAGTTTTCTTTTGGCAGCCAGAATTCTGCATTTTTCTTTTAAGAACTGCCGAAAATCGTGACCGAATGTATGAATTGTCATTGATTTTTCAGCAAACTGGAAACATACAGACAAAAGGGATCTTACCGGGCTAAGAGAAGATGGAATTTCAGGCCTCAAAAGCTTATTTATCTTCTTACATTTTAAGCCAAAATTGTGTTATAGGTTAAAGGTTCATTTTCCACAGTTGTCGAGAAGAAGAGCCAAGGAAAGCCGAACCTTGCAATCAACCTCATGCTAAACAGTGACTGGTTTGCCTTTCCAGGTCCTGCCAACGAGCCAGGCTGGCTGTGTTATCATCAGCAGTGCCCTGGAGTACTGCAGACCCGCCTGGCTCAGGAACCAGACACTGAGACTGTCATGGAGGGTTGACTTGATTCCAAGCACATCACCTTGGACACAGTTCAGTTTCAAGGAGACCCTCCTACCTTGCCCCCACCTCCCCTTCCAAGGAGGAAGCGGTATCTCAAATGCAACAATCATTATTATTAATTTAGACGCGTTTATAAAGGTCATCCAAGGAAAATAAAGCAACTTACTCCGTCCGACGGGTGAGTCGTCCATCCCAGCTCGGCCTGTGACTCTTTAGAATTCAGCAAAATAACTAAAGAAAAATTAGTAAACGATTAGAATCAGTCTGAAATTCCACCTGGTCTCAGCCTGCGAGACCTTAATTGTCTAACAATTCAAGTCAGATTCATAGAAAGAAGGAGACCATTCGACCCATCAAGTCTTGTTAAAAACAAGAAACTCACGTCCAGATTACGATGGAGTTGAATGATTTTCCATAAGTTAGAATTGTGCTGTCGTGTTTTGCCTATGAAAGTCACAGTCACTACACTTTGAGCTCATACTCTGGACCAGGGGCTTCCAACTGTTCGTTCGCCCCTAGGTCAAAGAGACAAGAGAAAAGAGCGACAGAACTGCGTCAAGTTGTTGAGTCAAGTTGAAAACGAAGTCAGACGCACAAAGTATTTAGTGCATCTGGAAAAAAACTGAACTATCAACTTTAATGTTAAAACTGCAGTAAACAGCACTCTTGCCTCTTGTTTATATTGAGCATGCGCAAGAGGACTCCCAGCAGCGATCGAACCGTTTGGAGACCCTTACTCCAGGCCATCACTCCAATCTAGTGTGGTGGAGTGTTGCATTGTCGAAAGAAAAGTACTTTGAGGCCTCTCGACGACATGATAAGGCCCTTTATCAAACGGAAGGAACATTGATATAAGTGCCTGCCTTCGGACAAGATGTTAAAACCAAAGCTTTATAAACCAACTGGGTCGGGCGACTTTGCTATGTTCCGAATCGTCTGCTCCGTTTGCCTCTAAGCATACAGTCACTACACTAAGCAGTAATTCCTGAGCCCCTCCACCCACCGCATGAAGAGCACTATAGAAATGCAAACCGTTGTTGTCATTACTGTGAAGCACATTTCAACATTGCAGGCGGTGCAAGGATTAGTACACGTCGCCCTTTTTAAAAAAATAATGCTTTCATATATGAAAAAAAACTCACATATGAATTGTACTGAACGATCCTACTGGCCTCGGTGTAATTTACTCCCTCGCAGAATGAAAATGTCCAAGTACAGTACATGATCAAATACTGCTGCCCAGCAATTCTGTCAATCACTTAACATTCTTGTTAGAAAGGCCACTGAATCCCAAAGCAACTGCGAAACACTTATTTTACCCCACTGTGTTATCAGCCGCAGGCTTCAGAGGGCAACAGGCAGCCAAGGAAAGCCGAACCCTGCAATCAACCTCATACTAATTTGGCTCTTTCCGTCCAACAATATTCAGTTTCGCAATATTATCTGCAACTCAGGTCAGCGTCCTGGAACGAAGAAAGAAATGAAATGCCACGCTAAGGAGGAATTGGAAAAGAAAATCTCTTCCTGAGGGGGAGCGAAGGGAAATGGAAAACACATCCCGCCCAACTCACCTGCCTTGGCCTCTCTCTGCTACAGCAATAACAAGTTGCATTTATATAGCGCCTTTCAAGCCGGGGGGAATGTCCCAACTACAGCACCACATTGTCAGCCTGGCTCAGTTGGTAGCACTCTCAAATCTGGGTCAGACGGTTGCGGGTATAAGCCCTATGTTAGGAACTTTGAGCTGACAATCCCAACTGACCCTCTGTGAGTGCCCTGCATTGTTTGGAGTTGACGTTTTTCAGGTGAGAAGTTGCACTAAGGACTCATCTGCCTGGATTAGCCTATTGAAGAACCTATGACTCTATTTAATAATAATAATCCTTGCATTTGATATAGCGCTTTTCACGTCGGGAGGACGTCCCAAAGCGCTTCACAGAACATACTGCAAAGTGAATTGACTGTATATTTGTGGGCGAACGCAGCAGCCAATTGCGCACAGCAATGTCCCATAAACAGTCGTAGATTGAAAATGACCAATTTATTATTGTTTTTGGTTTTGGAGGGATTATTATTAGGCTCTGTGTGGAGTAAGGAAACTTGCCCAAGGTTTCGCCCTCTGCCTGGAATTGAACTCAGGTCTCTCACTTGCAAAGCGAGTGCTCTAACCACTGAGCTACAGGACTCCAGAAGGGAGTTTCTTTACCAGTGTCCTGGCCAACAAGCCCCCAGATATAAATGATCATTTACTTTCTGGCTGTAAGTGTATGCAAATTGGCTGCTGTGTTTACCTATCCAATACATAATCACTACACTTTACCGTAAGTCCTATGAAGCGCTTTGAGACATCCTTCCCACGTGAAAATGGTTGACTTCTGGATGATAAGGTCACCACTGTCATCACTTCCTGTCCACTACCCACGTAGGGACGTTAGCAGCAGTTCCCGCGTAGACAGTGACATCCGTTGCAACCTGACAGTCAGCGGCCATTTTGCAGTGAAAAAAATTTCCCCAAGTTGGAACGAAAAACTAAACGTGGATATTAACCGATCAAAATTAATAAGATATAAAAGACAGCCCCCCCAAAAAACAGCAAGCCCAAATTACACAATCCTCGTTGAAAGCTCAAAGGCTCAATGGGATGAATGGCACCTCTCACGTCTCACAACACACTGGAATCTGGTCTGGTAGAGAATGCACTGTTCAGCCAGCCAGCACATTGTGTTTTGCAATGAGATAAACATTTTAAAACTGATTTCAAAAATACTCACTGAGCACTTCTATCTTGATAAAAAAAAATATTTGATTTCCTCTCTCACACAGATGGTTTCCAATCATAAATCGAAATGCAATTGCTCTAGTGTTTCACAATGCAGTGATAGCTAAATCAGGCTGATATTTTCTTTTATGCACTGCTATGGTGCTGGTTTATTTTACTGCATCACGACTGAAAAGTTGTCATTTTTTTCAAAATAGACGTGACTCTTATTACTCGATCTATTTGGATTTTCATTACTTGGCTGTCTGCAGCTTCCTTAACTGTCATCTTTTACTGAGCGCCTCCACAGATAAGGGTTGCTATAGTTCAGCTCTCATTTCCAAAACTCACCACTTTACAATTCAATTACATCCGCGCACTCTCATCCACACATTTTCACAACCGGGCAACCCAATCCTGTTCCTCAATCCTCACTTGTCCATTCACATACAATAAAAATAATAATCCTTGCGTTTGAATATAGCGCCTTATCGTGGCTCAGACATTTCAAAGCGCTTCAGTGAATATATGGCAAAATTAATTGACTGTGTATTTTCTATAGAACAAAACGTGAAATCCTGCAGATGCTGGAAATCTGAAACGAAAGCAGGAATCGCTGGGAACACTCAGCAGGTCAGGCAGCATCTATGGGGAAAGGAAAGTGAGTCAATGTTTCGGGTCCACGACCCTTCGTCAGAACTGGGGCATGTTGGGAGGGAGAGGCTTTTAAGGGCTGACGGAGATGGGGGAGGCAGGGCAAGGAAGACAAGGGAGAAAATGGGGTAGAAGACAGGGGCTGATGGGTTAAAGAGGTGATAATGATGCAAAACAAAGGGGGGATTGCAACAAAACAGGGGAACGAGGTATTAATAATGCAAAACAAGGGGGGGGGGAAACATGTATACAAAATATGTATATTTTGTATATTTTGATATATTAATATCATGAGCCCTTCAGATATTGCATCTGTGAACCCCCCCCACTGGATTTTCTTTCTTCCAATTTGAGAGTGAGTATTTGCAGATATTTTAAGAGATAATCCCTCGATAAGATTGTTGCTCAGCTTTTTATGTATATAAAAAAGGAGGGGATTTCAGTCTTAAGATTGGTATCGTTTTTAGTGGGGTTCGGTTGGCCAATTTGTAGATCAATCCTAGAGAGACAGATTTGATGACAAATGTAACAGATGAGAGATGACGTTCCTTCCTCTGTCCATGTTTATCTTCTTCCTTGGCAATCCTCGGGGGAAAAGCGGTTGCGGTGCTTAACACCTTATTATTTGCAGATATTAAAGGTGTCAGGTCCTGTCCCCTTAATCCCTACTCCCCACTTCCCACCCTCTATCTTGCACCCTCACTCCCAATCCTCTCTCAAAAGCTTCCTGCTTTGACTGCCTTTTCAATCTCAACCCACTGTGTCCCATCTCCCTCAGTGATCCACGCTGTCCCTGTAAAAAGCTCCAAGCTATTGACCTGCACAAAAGGCGCTCTATAAATGCAAGTTATTATCGTTGCTTCACCAAATAAGCTTAGTTAGGAAACTAATCTTTGAACATAATGAATACAATTTACACCAGTGTTATTGAAGCACAATCTGCCCAGTCAGCGGCGCAGGGAGAAAGTGGAGGGAATAAAACAATGAGAAGCCGAACGCAGCTTGTTACGCCTTCTCTTTAAATGGCAAGTCATTGTTAAGCTATCTGAGAAGCTAAGGATTGTATTCTCAAGGGATTCTATGTTGAGATGGTTTGCATTTTCCAGCGCTAAGCCTCCCCACATTGCATGCCTCTCGCACCGCTCTGCCCACTTTTCCGTTTCATAGTTATTGGTTTCTTTGTCTTTCTCGAGAGAAATATTCTGTTCTGGATTTGTTTCTTTGACTTGATCTTGAATTCTTTTCAGTAACCCAACATTTTTGCCTGTCAGATTTGGGCTTCCGTCGGTGGTCACATTCCCCAATTTTTTCCACTCCACTCCCTTTTAAGATACGCTTATTTACAGCCTCCAAAAAGTCTTCTCCAGTTGTCGTATCTTTCATTGACTGCATTGATGCGAATTCTTCTGTGAGCTCAAAATGTTTGTTGATACCACGAATAAAAATTATCAACTGAGCTGTGTCTTTGACATCACAACTCTCATCGAGTGCCAGTGAAAAACATGCAAAAGTGCTTACTTTATTTTGTAACTGCAGATACAGGTTCTCAGAGATATCCTCTACACGTCTCACAATAGTTCCCCTTGACAAGCTAATGTTCTCGAACTGGTTTTTCTTGTCTGAGCATAAAATTGAGGCAAAGTCAACCATACATTCCTTTATAAATTCTCCTTCACAGAATGGTTTGCTGTTCTTGGAGATTTTGTGCGCAATCACATAACTCACTCTTGTAATTTCATCCTGGGGCGCAAATTGTTTTGTGAAAATGCTTTGCTCTTTTTGCATTCGAACAACCATCTCATCAACTTTTTTTTCCTAT